TCAAATAATTCTTACCTGCTTCAGTGCCAGCAGAAGGTCCCCCAGGTAGACATGGAGAAGCACTTTGTTTTAAATAGGAAGGTTTCATATTTGTAGTTGAAGCCACTTCATTTTGTTAAACTGTATAATGCACAGGTTTTGGGTTCGGCATTATTCACGTTTCTGATCAATTCTATGCAACTCTCATAGTTCCTGTTGTTTTTTAGCATTAGCTGCCAAGATGACTTCACAAGGCTGGGGTGGGTGACTTAACTGACTGTGAGACTGGATTAATCATAACGTGGACAAATCTTATTTTGCTTAATGTGTCACGTGTCTGTGTGTGTGTATATAAATATCTTTCCCAGTATACCCAGTCGACAGTGTTTAAATCCCAGACAGGACTGCTGATCTGCACAGTTTAGTGATGTGGTTATTTGGGCACTTAACTTCACTCAAGGTTTGCTGGGCTCTGCTCTCCTCCCTGCCGTGACAGGAGCTGTGAAGCGCTGCCTCACTGCGTGGTTCCCAGTGTCTTTGCACAACAGGTTGTCCAGGTGAGAAAGACTGAGCCGTACGTTCGCATCCTCCTGGCCTGGTCCCTCCCTGACTGGCTGGGCCTCAGGCCCTCCCCAGAGCATGGCTGGGTGCAGACCTCACGGTTCAGATGGGCTACAAGTTCTCACTTCAAAGCTATGGAAGGGAGGTTTTAGCTCCTTTAAAAAAAGAAAAAAACCCTTTGACTTAATTTATATAGTGATATGCTGACAGGCTAACTCGCCGATGGTTTATCGTCTTCTCTTCGTTCAGTGTGGAGGTGGCTGGTTACAAGAGACACTGGTTTGTATATAAAGACACTTGGGTTGTTCTGTAGCTCTTTTTCTTGTTGGCTGTACTAATGCTTGCTGAGGTCATCTGTGACACAGGAGGTAAAAAGTGGCAACCCCCTCCCCGACGCCACCCCCTCTGCTGCTTTCTGTGTCTTGTTCAGTTACCAAACAGCTGTAAGCCCATCTAACGCTAGGCACGTGGGCATTGTGCTAGGGTAGTTTCAGTGTGTCAACTCTATGAATTGAAATATAAACCAGTAAAATTGTATTACTATTTCTTTTGTTGGTTTTATTTTAACAGCATATTCATTAAATATTTTGGTACAAACAGCATTGCTTTGTAAAAACCAGTTTTATCATTATGTGCTTCTGTCGCCTCCTCTTCTCCTCTCCTCCCCACTGCCTTGCCACGCACAGAAGCAGAGTGAGAGAAGACCACCCATTCAGGCACAGACGCGGTAGCTAAGGTGGGTGCCAGGCCATGTGGGTTGAGAAGACACAGGCTTTGCCCTGGGGGAGACTGATGCCTCTGCTCATTTTTTTTTTTAAGAGATGGGGTCACTGTGTTGACCAGGCTGGACTTGAACTCCTGGCTTCAAGTGATCCTCTCACCTCAGCCTCCCAAGTAGCTGGGATTACAGGCGTGAACCACCACACCCAGCTCTCATGCCTCTGTTCATTATGAGCATTGCTTCTCTCTGAAAAATAAAGTGCTCTGACAACAGGTTTTTGAGGCTGGGGGAAGCCTTACTGGAGGTAAGGGTAATGGGGACTTGAATGACAAAAGCTTCTCACTGGGCGGAGATGGGAGAGGGAATTCCAGCGCCAGAATGTCAGTGTGCAGGGGAAACAGCTGAAGAGCAGAAAGGCAGGCTGAGCACTTGGGGCTCAGGTATGCTCTCCTAAAAGCTTCAAAAAAAAGTGGCAACAAGGAGATGCATCTTATCAAAGTCTCTTTATTCTCGTTGCTGGTCCTTCCACATCCCTGCATCACAAGGATGAAGCTCTCAGGCCTTCTGCTGCCCTTCTTTACCACCTTGTCCCCCTTTCTGCAGCAAGAAGAGTGAAGTTTCCCTAACCCTGCGGTTCCCCTCCCAGCCTGACCTGCCCTCCAGGACTCCACCTCCACCCAGCCTCTAAATGGAAGCAGGTCGACATGCAGACCGTGGCTTCATGCCTATAGGAAGAAGGGAGGATGGCGAGTGGGCCCCTGCCCTGGCAGGTGCTCTTGCATTGTCCAGGACAGTGGCTCCAGAGCACGGTGGCGATCGGGATCGTTTTGATGCTCCCAGGCTGAAGGGCGTTATTTCTAGAATCCACATGCCTGGCCAGCCTGCTCCGTGCTTTCCCAGTCCCAAGGGCCCCATGTTCAGGAGTGTAGGTTCTCAGCAAAAATCCTCATTCCTGCAGCTGTGTAGTGGCCCAGAGAAAGGAGCCCGTATGCCAGTAAGCCGTGACACACAGATCTAAAGTGACTCAGAGGAAGGACCTGTTTTGCAGGAGGTCCCCAGGTTACACTGAGACTGAGATTGAGAAGAGTAATTGCAATACATACGGTAAGTACCGTGTAGTGTGGAGATCCTGTGGCAACGTGGAGCGTGTGTATAACTGCAAGGGAGACAGAGTGGCAGTGACAGCTCTTTCTTTGCACTGACAACTAGGGGATGTGCTGGGTAGAGAAGCAAGAGGACACTTCTTAGGTGGGAGGAATAGTTGTTAGTGTTGTGTAATCTGCTTGGGGCAAGGTGATGAGAGATGAAAGTGGGTAATTAGGTTGGGCCCATGCCCGAGGGTTTGAGGTGATGGGGAACCACTGGAGAGTCCTAAACCCACTTCACTTTGAGAAGTTCCCTGCCAGTCCTTTAGGAAGAAACACTGGAAGAGAAATTAGGGTCTGAGCAGAGGCGACGAAGAAAAGGGAACAGGGTAAGAATGGGGGCAGTGAAACTTGGCGAGAGCAAGGACATGCCAAGAAGATAAATTTAGCTTTCAGTGTTATGTATTTGAGATAGCCTGGGACATGCAGTTAGAAATGTTTGGAATCCACAGTTGCTCGGAAGTTGGTTCAGCATCTTCTAGCACAGGTTTCTGAACCTCGACACTATTGACAGCTAGGCTGGTAATTCTGTGCTGTGGGGTCTGTCCTGTGCAGTGGAGCCACTCAGCAGCAGCTCTGGCCTCTGCTGGCTGGATGCCAGTGGCACACACCCCACCCCGACTGTCACAACCGAAAATGTCTCCAGGCACTGCCGCGTGTTCCCTGGGTGGCAAAATCAGTCCTGGTTGAGCAGCAGTGCTCAAACAAGCTGAAGCTAGGGGGATAGAGAGACTGTACGAGGAATGTTCAAGGGCTACACAGAGGAAGCAGGAGAGAGGACCTGGAGACTGGAACACGGATGCCCAGAGAAGAGGAGGAGCTACCTTTGGGTGAGGGTAGGCCCGGAAAAGGCTCACGGGATTTGGTAGTTGGGAGGGTGCTGGGGCAATGGCCCACCACAGTGGGTTGGGGGTTGGAAGGCAGGAAGCAGAGAGAAACCAGTGTAGATTTTAAGGCGGCTGGCTGTGAGGGAAGTGGGCATATAAGGCCAGTGGTTGGAGGGGACGTGCAGGAAGAGCTGTTGTGTTGAGAAACTTGGACTCTAGTTCTGACCTTGGGTACATGTCGCTGATGGAGGGCTGCTCACGAAGTCCGTGAGAATACACCACAGGCTGAGTGGACCATCTGGCTGGCCCTGCTGCAACCCGAGCTGATCTCCAAGGCCTTGGTAATAATTTTCAGCAGGGAGGAGGCAGCTTAGAATGGCAAGAGGTACCAGCCCCAAAATCTCCACTCCTGTTCTGAATTCCAAGTCCTAAAGGCAGGAGGTGAGCCATGAGCGAAGTGAAGTGAAGAAAAGGGCCCGAAACACAACTCCCAGGTCTGTACTGACCCAACACCTGTGAGACTAGAGCCTATGCAGAGAACAATACAGTAAATGACAACGGGCCCCTCATGGCCTGGGAGAGTCATTTCACTGCTTGCAGAAATGCCTGATTCTGACATTGGGATTTAAATCCTCTTCTAAGATTAATTTGGGGGTGATGAAAGAACAGGGCAGCTGGAGAAGATGGACATGAAGACTGGAACCACACGGAACGACTGAGGCACTCACTCCCAGAACAACAGGCCTGAGCACTAAGTTCCCTGGCCTCCCCGGCCTTAAGGTGACCACGTGGGCAGCAGGTAGGTACAAATTGTCATCGCACTTCACCATAAGCAACACGTGGAAACTTGGGGTTCAGGCCATGACCTTAGGGGCACATCACACAACCTTTCCAAGTTCTGTTCCTTCTCTGTACAGTGGGTTCAATGCCTGTCTCATGGGGATTGCTGAGCGCGCCTGTGAAGCTACTGACTCTTCTCATGCATTCTTCTCCAACTGTTAACTGTTGTTATAGCCAGATGTGAAAATGAAGGTGAAAGGCTTGCCTGAGGCTGCGCCGTCTGGGAGTTCAGTCTCTCCTACCATGTACCGCTTCCACCTTCTCTTCCAGGGCCCAAGAGCAAGAAAAACAATGCTCCCTCCTTCCTCTCCCCCAGATCCACCTCAACCATCTCTCCTGTGGGCTGAGCCTTGTGCCAGTTGTGGACAAGAAAGTCTGGCTACCCCTCAAACTCAGAAAGGCAAATATCTGGGAAGGAGGATGGAAACAGAGGGCTGGCCCAGCCAGCTTTTCTTTTACTCATTTTTAGCATGGTTGTAAACCCAGACTGACGGTGAGTGGGGAAAAGGTAGAGCCCTGAGTTGTAAAGTGAGGCAAAAACCCCCAGTGATGTTGTCCACACAGCTTTCCACTTACTTACCTGGAGGTGGCAGCAGCAACCCCTGGCCTGACTCCCTCCCAGACCACCACCCTGGGCCGGCCACACCTTCCTGTCCTCATTTCTCCAGGTGGGCTCTCCAGGTTGCTATGGCAGCTCGATCGCAGAAACTTCACAGGGAGGCTGGCAGCAGGAGCATGACGAAGAGCTTCAGCTTTGGATTCCAATTGCTGCCACCATCTAGAAACTACACCCTTGAGCAGGGCCCTTTGACTCAGAGCCTCAGTTTCCTGATCTGTAATGTCTGGGTATTGCCAACCCCTGGAACAGGTATGAGGATTAAGAGTGAGGTTTGTGAGAAGCACTTGGTAGATTCTGAGGTTTGAGATTCAGCACTCACTCAGTATACGTAGCTTACCCCTCTCCGTGCCAAGGTGCCAGGTTAAAGTTTCATGATGAGTAAACTTTTTGCACCATTTACAGAGAAGCAGAGTTGAAGGACCGCAGACAGGAGCGTAAATTAGGACTTGGCCCCACCCCCCAAACCACTGGCCATTATCAGGAACCACGCTGCTCCCCTTCAAGCTTCCTCAGCCCCTCAACCCTTTGCATGAAGGGAAGACCCTGTAACATGTACTGAGAGTCTTAAGGGCCAGGAAAAGAGGGCCTGCACTCGAACCTTTCATCAAAGCCAGATCCTTCATTTTAACAGAGTGGGTCCTGCACAAAACAGCCCATTACTGTTTAAGACAGAAGCATTTTTATTCATCCAAATGGGGAAAATGCAACATGTCAGGGCATTACAGACTGCAGCAGCCAGACAAGAGGGTCAGTCTATGGCAGAGTCCAACATACTCGGCACGAAGAAGCCACAGTGTGGGTGCTGCCTGCAGAAGCCGGGGCAGCAGGGTCCCTTTGGATGAAGGCCAGGCATCTCTGGGCGAGGCACTGGTGACAGTCCACATATGCAGGCTGCTGCTTCAACCACGCCGAAGGTTTAAAGTTCAGAGTCCTACATGTAATCATTACCCCAGAAGGAAGGACAATCCAGGGTGGTCACGGTTTCCAATGTTTTTTAACATAATAATACACAACAAAGTTATTGCCAAGGACTTTGCACTGCAAATTATACTATTTACACTTGTGTATTCAGAAAAACCCAGTAAATCGCTACATGATAGATATTTTAAATAGATTTCTAAAAACTAACTTGGCCATCACCAGACCACAGTAAGCTACAGCCAGGAGTCCAATGCCATGTACATAACCGTGCAGCCGGGAAAGGTTTTCTATCCACAACTATGCTTCTCTGTGCCTGCACCCCCAGCCCTGGGGCCCAGGAAGGGCTAAAACTGAACAGGGCCACCTTATTCTTAGTGTGAGTGAAGCCAGTTGTCAAACAGGACTTCAGGTATAGACTGGCTGCACTTCCCATTTCCTTCCCCGATAGAAGCAAGTCCCATAGGCCCTGCTCCTCCAGGAACACTACATAGCAGGTAGACCAGATGCACAGGCATGAGGCTAATGGTCTGAGCCTCAGCCCAAGCCCATCAGCCTCGCTGTTCCTGGAAGCGCACTTGTCCTAATCACGGCTACCTCAGCAGACCTGTCTTCTAAAGAAGTGACAGGGCCCAACCAGCCATTTAAAGAAACCAAAGGTCTAGTACAACAGGCCAGAAAGGTCGGTCCAGGGTGAAAGGCCTGAGTTCAAAGATGCTTTGGGGAAAACAGGACAAACACTGCTAGAGGCTAAACTATAGGACATCTGCCCAAGGAAGCAACAGCAGGGGTTTCCCCCTGGCCCAGCATTCACCTCGCCTTCCTAGCCCTGGTATGCTGGAAAGGAAGTCCACCTGGAGGCAGCTCACCAGAGAGCCAGAGCCAGCCGTCATTCCTGGGAGACGCAGAGTGAGCCCTGGGTGGGGGCCTTGAGGACCGCTATGATGTGGCTCCCTAGCAGAGTTTCTGAAAATGAGCCTTCGCTCCAGGAAAGGTAGTGAATGGTAGTAAGCACCTCCCACATAGCCAGGGCAGGTCCCGTCGCTAAGAAGCTGCCATATTAAGTGAGCGAAGGGAAAAGCAGCACTCGGCACCCCCAAGAAGGGGGTGCTCGGAGTAAACTTCACCTGACTGCACAGCGCCAGTCTGAGCATGAAAGGTGATCAGTGTTAGGAGGAGGGATAGTCTAATGGTGGCACTTCTGGCCTAGTATCAGGTGACAAGTATTTCTGGAACTAGGCCTTGCCTGGCTACTTCCAAATCATGCCTCAGGGGTCGGTAAGAAGATGTCTGTACTAAAAGGAGGCTTGGAAAGTGACAAACGTTTAGAGGGAACAGGTGTCTTACCACAGACCCACCAAACCAAAATTCCAGGAGGGTAGAGAGCACAAGCTGCCCAGAGAAGGGGAAAGGGGGCTGGAAATGTAAAACAACTTTCTAATATTGCAGGTGAAGAAGAAACTTCTTTCAGTCTTCCTAGCTACCTAAAACTCTTACTCCTATTGATTCATGTCCATGAACAATAAATAAAACAAAAAACCCTGACTCCTAGGAGCCACAGACTTATTTAGGTTAGAGTCAAAAAGACTTTCTGAACATCATCTGTTTCCCTAAGCAGAACAAGTCAGATGGCAACGAGTCTATGCCTGTGCGCTGGGACAGGGTCAGCCCGACAGACTAGCACTGTCCTGTGAGACTGGAGCCTCAGCACAGGACTCGCTGCCAGAGGAAAGGCCACATCCCGCACTCTCTTTACCAAACCCAGGGCCCACTCCACTTGCCAGGCTCGAGTTTGTTACTTTCCCTTCCCTAAACCCAGAAACAGAGCTCCTTCTCGGAGATAAGAATTTGCACACCTGTCAGGGGCTGGGTGCCACTCCAACTCCCTGAGAGAGAGAAGACCAGGCAGCAAAACCCAGGAGGCACATCCCTACCAGAGAGGGAGCCACGCAAGTCTGAAGAGAGCGGCCAGTGTGCCTCAAAGGGGTCTTTTCCTTCTGTAGCCCTCATTTGATTCTCAGGGATTACCAAACACAACTTCATTGAGCGCAAGCAGCATCCAATTCCTTAAGTCTTCAGTGGCTTCCTGCCTCCCCGGGGGCAGCCCACGCCTCCTGGTTCAGTCCCAGAGTGCCAGAAGCGGCCACAGTGGAAGGCGGTTCCAGTGCAGACCTGCCAGCCCCATGGCTCCCTCCTGGGTCAGCATCATGGGAGAGCCACATGTGGAGTTCGTGCCACCACCTCCCAGCTCTGGGGCGCCGGGCAAGGGCGCCAGGCAAGTGCCTTCCCTTCTCTGAGCTGCATGGGATCTTCACCACCCCCCAGGGCTGCTTGGGCTTCACTGAAATAGCACCTGTGTCAGGTCTTCTCTCTCCAGCCCTACCTGCGCAGTCACAGCAACGCCAGTCTCCTGTGCCCATACATCAACAGCAGCCACTCCCAACCTCTGCTCATCTTAAGGAGAGTGTCTGCCGCTCACATCCCTGGCACCTCACCGATGCTCCCTGGACGGTAGCTCCCTTCAACCTGCCTAGAAACCCAACTGAGGGGAAAGACTTTGCAGGGTAAAAAACACTACAAACATTAATGGGTTTTTCATCACCCCAACTATCACTGAGTACACCTTGGAGCAGGCACCATGTCTGATCCACCTTAGTCTCCCCTGCACCCGACGTGAGGCACAGCCCAGAGCAGTCTGTGATGCACCCGAGCAGTAGTTATTTCAACCTGCCTCAGCGGGCTGTAGGCTTCTGGAGAATAGGGCCAGCACCTCTCTACCTCCCTGAAGGCCTGCCCTTTGTGCTGTCCGTGGCCCGGTGCGTGCACAAAGGAAACGAAATCTGCTCCATAAAGCTTGCTTGTGGTGTGACTTGACTCGGAAGCAAGGGGGAGCCTGTCCCCACCATTTCACCCTTACACACTAACGCCCCAAGCCAGATTTAGATTCGAGACAATGTTTCATAGCAGGAGAGAAAAAGCCTAAAGATGGAAGATTCTGTCATGCTCTGTTCATGTCAGAAATAAAGGTCAGGCGCTCACTGACCTGCTAAAGCCAGTGGTCAGAAAAACCATCCATCTCTGGGCCTCTCTGTCACACTCTAGTACCAAGAGTAACAAATTCCTTGGCTAAAGTCCAGATTAAACTGAGAGGTATAATTTATAATCACAGACATGGTCTTCTATGACCAGAGGGACATTTCTAAAATGCATTTGTAATCACTTTACTCTCCTGAGCACAACTATCCAATGGCTTCCCACTGCCCAGAGAATGAAGCCCACACTCCTTAGCCTGGCACTTCAGGCCCTGCACAAGCTGACCCCTCCACACCTGTGCAACTACACAGACGTTCTCATTGTTCAACACCATCTCATCTATCATCTGGGCCTGCTCCCTTTCCTGGAGAACCCTCCTCCTCCTCCTCCTCCAAGAATCTGCTCCGGAGCAGCCTCCTTCCCAGGACTTTCCTGATTCACCCTCAGCCCTTCTCTCCTCTGAGCCCCATCACCCTGGACTTCCCTGACCCTGTTCTGTATTTTACTCTTCAACCACCTGATCTCCCATTTCAGTGTCCCACCTGTCACTCAAAACCTAAGTTCCGCTCAGTGCTCACACAGACGAGATGCTCAGGAAGTCTCCGTGGGGACACAGATAAATCGAGGCAGAAGAAAGGAAGAAGTTTCCAGTCATGATTAAGCCAAAGGGTAAGTAATCTCTACAGTCTTAAGACAGGGATCGGCAAAATATGGCCCACTGTTTTTGTAAATAAAGTTTTATCAAAACACAGCCGTATAGTCTATAATCTATTATATGGCCTTTGTGCTAGATGGCAGAGTTGAATAGTCCGTAAAGCCTGAAAGGCTTACTGTCTGGCCCTTTGCAGAAAAAGTTTGCTGATACCAGGTCTAAGGCAGTGCTTTCCACATGCGGTCACATTGTATAACACACATAAAGCGGTGATATTTGTGTGGCCTGCTAGGGTAATGAACAAGGCCATATAGTTAAGAGACAGATGCAACTGGAGTTCTGGCCACCCAGAAGCTGATGGGATCAGTGTTTCAGTACACCTTTAACCCTTTTGAAGTTCTGAAATAAGGGCTCAAAATCATAGTTGACACTTGAGCCCTAGTTCCCTATGGAGTGATAAAAAAGACACACAGAAATGCACCCTGACTCCTACTTGGGTCTCCCTGCCCACCTGTCCATGGCAAAGCAGAGGTGGCAGAACTGAGAAAGACAAAAATGAGGCCCAAAGCAAATCCCAAAGTAATCTCATAATTTCACATTTGTTTCCCTCAAAGAACTATGTAAAGAGGTCTGGGTCTAGTGCAGTGGCTCATGCCTGTAATCCTAGCACTCTGGGAGGCTGAGGCAGGAGGATTGCTCAAGGTCAGGAGTTTGAGACCAGCCTGAGCAAGAGCAAGACCCTGCCTCTGCAAAAAAATAGAAAAATTAGCCGGTGTGATGGCACATGCCTGAAGTCTCAGCTATTCGGAGGCTGAGGCAGGAGGATCACTTGAGCACAGGAGTTTGAGGTTACAATGAGCTATGATCACACCACTGCACTCTAGCTGTGTTGATAGAGTGATACTCTTCTCCAAAGAAAAAGAAAAAGAAAGAAAGTCTGTACCTTCCCACTGGCTAACCAGTTCCACAGATGCTGACTCCAATGAGCTTCAGCTCTTGCCCAGGTTTTGGAAAAAAAAAAAAGATTATCGTTCTGTAAAGCAGAAGACCTCCATACAAACGAACACCCAGCACCTGCTACTCTCCTCACTGCAGAGCCCAGCCAAGCAGAACTGCAGGGTTAAGATGCTGATTGACAGGCCACAAACCTCTCCACCCATTACCAATAGAGAGGCTTCCCAGAGAGCACCAGCACAAGAGAGCTGGGCCCACCAAAGGCCAGATGGCCCTCACTACGTTCTAACTCCCCTCTGTACCTGGTCGGCATCTTCCTCCCTTCCTCCACTTGGCCCATCTTGATCAGAGGCACCACTGTTCTCTACATCACTCTACTGAACAGCAGTCTGGGAGAAGTACTCTGGCAGACCCTCTACCCCTGGTGGGCACTGTTGTTCCCTGGCCTAGGGCTGGGTGCCGTCAGTTCCCCACCCCCAATCCAGCATAGGAGCCTGGCCTATGAGGAGACTCCATTCCTGTACCTCCCTTACCTGGGCATTTGCAACAGCCTCTTCCTCATCAGCCCTCCTGACTCTGGTCATTGGCCATCCAACCATCCAAGTCATCCCTCCAGAATTCTCTCACCATATTGGATGATGGTAATCACCGAAGGGCACAGCATTCAGGGCGTTTCATGAGGTGGCTGTAAACTGCACACACCCCAAGTGGGCTTACCTCCCCTCCTGGGGTCCCCTCCCCACTCATCTACCAGGCAAACCCTTGTCCAGCTTCATGAGAAGCCTGGGTCACTTCTGTCAGTGCCCCTGTAACTCTCTGTAAGTTACTCAACTCTAAGCACTTCTCCTCCTGTGACCACCAGTCAGTCTCTTCAGAGGCCTGGCTCCTTTCCTGGATTGGGTGGGAGACCTGGGACTGGACCTGCCATCCCCCATCCCAGGGCCAGTGAGTAACATCCCAATCAGACCTAGAGCATTTCTCTCACCACAGAAGATGACTCTTACTCTGTCCAAATCCCCTGAGCATCTTTCTCCCCCTTCCTGCACACTCCATCTTGGTCAGTGGTTTCACCTTCTACTCAGTTGTCTAAGCTGAAAATCTTGATGGTTTCTCCGACTTCTCCTTCTCCCCCAACACAGAGCCTGGTAAAAAAGCAGCAGGTGACAGTGACTAGTTTCTCAATAAATCCATGTACCCAAGAAGCAAGAAGTGGTCTTGGTAATGTCAGCAATCACATCAGAGTTCAGTCCAAATTGACATCTCATGGAGGAATTTCCTCTTCACTATCCAAACTGGCTTCTTGCTTGAACATGCCCAGAAACATGGAGATCACTTCTGCCCTCACCTGTGCTCCCAAGGCAGCTCTACCATCATGGGAGGCATACTTTAGCTCAAACTGCCTAACTGGCTTCCCCTATCTGTCATGACCCTCTGGAACCACATACGGTAAGTAAATATGATCTCATAAAATAGTTGATGGAAGTATCAATGTTCTCCCCAGGTCTCCCTTCACTAGCCTCAAACATCCTCACCATTTGATCTCATTTAAAGGTGCCTTCAGCTTTCCTGAGTTCCTCAGGTATAACTTCCACAGTTTTTTATCTCCCAGGTGATGCCTACTGTATACTGCAGCCTCCAAGAGCATGAGAGATTTCAGAAAGCTGACCAACTTCTGAGACTATCTATATGAGGGAAGGATTCAAGGAGATCCCAGCAGCAGAAAGGAGATTCTGCCACTTAAAACTCTGGAAAGTGTGTTACTGTGATGGTGACCCCTTTGGATAGAGCACATGTTGAAGGTCTAGCCAGGAATGGATGACAGCCAACAACTAAAATGTGGATGAGGCTGAACATAAAAAGCACCTTTCCAACTGCCCATGCCCTCCCCTCCTTCCAACCCGAGTAGCTCTCCAAATGGCAATTACTGAATTTGCGCTTTACCGTAGGGCTCAGTCATGGTACAAAAAGGTGCTCTGTGGAATAGATCCAGTTATGCAGCTGACAAAAAAGCAGGATGCCCAGCCCAGGGGTGACTAGTTGGTCGCCTTGCCCAGGAACAAACTAATAGTTCTTCCAAAGGAACCAGAGAAAGAATGAGCCTGGAAAGTGGATTTTGAGGAGACCAGGGAAGGGTCAAAGAGAGGTGGGTTGGTTTTTGCTTGTTTTGTTTCAAGCCACATAGGATATAGCCCAGAAGTTTAGAAGAAAGGTGAGTAGAATGCATCATAGAGAGGAGATGACACTGTTGCCAAATGGTCTTGGAAAACAGGACAGACATCAGGCTAGACTAGTAATACAAACCATAAGTACTGGGCACAGTGCTGTCAGAGTATGTGGGCTCTGCCACTTACAGCTATCTAATTTGTGGCAAGTCACTTTAAGCCTCCATTTCCTCATCTGTAAAAGGAAAGAATTTCTAGATCCCACAGTTTTGGTGGAGTTCAAAACTGACCCCTAAGAAAGGGCTTCTGTTAACTGTAAAAACAGTATAAGAAGTGTTATTTCTTCTATGTGGTTAGGAGCTACAGTGTTTTGCCACAAACAAGCAGGGTGGTTTGGAGCGATCTCTGGGCTTCAATTTCCCTGTCTGCAGAGTGGGAACAATCATCCTTTCACTGCTATTCCTCCAAGGTTCTACCAGTAGAGCAGGAAATGAAATAATGAATGGGAAACGGCTTCACAGAATGTTATGTTCCACAAATGCTGGGCACTCATTCTCCCTCACACATATCAGTGCTGTAGAACTTGACAACCTGAGTTTCAAAGAAGGTTCCTTCTTCCTGCTCCCCTCCAGAATTATGGCAGGGTGCTCAGAAAAAATGCCAACTGCCAAGGAAGATGACGGCTTGGGTGGGTGAGGAGTATTTTTCCCTGAAAAGAATTCTGTATCCATCCCCACATATACCGACCCCTAAGCAGAGACCCAGCTGGCATTAATGAGCTAAGGAGCTGGGAAGTGGTCTGCAACAGTAAGAGAATCAAACACGTTCAGCAGAGTGACTCGCATGCCACAATCGAGAAACTTCAAAGCCATCCAAGCAGGGCTCAACATGCATGGGCCATACTTAGAGGGAAGATGGCAAACTCCAAGATAGGATCCTGCCCTGAAGCCTACTCTAAGGCAAACTCCTGGCATTGAGAACTGGCCTCTGCAATCTGCCACTTGCCCATCTCTGCCAAGTATTTGCCCAGGGACACCTCCCTGTACTTAAACCCCACACCTGGGCTGCTGCCCATTCATGCCCATTCCTTGTACCAAATGAGCCAAAGCCTCACTAGCCTGCCTTCCGAGTCTGGCTTAAATTTTTTAAGACATCCCCATCACCTATCTCAGGCCAGGCAGAGAGCATGCACCCAGAAAACATGTGCTAAATGAAAACATGTACCTCAGTTTCTCATTGACAGTCAAACAGAAAAATGAGCTTTAAATACGAAAGTTTCCTCTGTTTATACAACCACTCTGCAGTCTTTCAGTCTATCTTTCCAGTTTGTCAGACAATTCTTCACAATTAAAGAACATATCCCTGTTTTAGGCCAGGATACCTAGTCTGGAACAATCTCGAGTCAGAGGGTCTAGATTCCAGCACAGTCTGTCCCTTTCGCCCCCAGCCTTTTTAATCCATAGCATGATGGAGTAATAAGAGTATTGGAAAGACCTGGGTTTCATTCCTGGCTCTAGCACTTCACTTTGAGCATCAGTGTTTTTTTGTAAAATAGGGATAATACCACATCCAAGAAGGTAGTCTGGAAAATTAAGAGGACTGTCCAACTGCCTGGCACATGTCAGATACCAACATTGGCATTTCTCTTCTTTCCTCTCTCCTACTCCTGCTTTTTAATCTATTGCTGCCCACACCCTAAAATGACCTAAACTGAAGGCTACTGATAACTTCATTATTTGGGGCATTTAGCTGACTGACACTTAAATGCAGAGGCCATTTGTCCAAACTGTACAAAGGGATCAAGATAGGAGAACCTGAAACAAAGCAGACAGAGACTGAGCTTCTTGGACCTGCTAAGACAACGTCCTAATAGCAGCCAAGTTAATCCCATCTCCTCCTGCTGGCCAAACAGCAGTAGAAAAAAATAACTCTGGACCACGTATCCCCAGCCAGGGTATGCTAATCAGACATACTGAAGCTGTCTGGGCAGATGGTGGCAATCTTCACCCTACCCACCAGCAGGGGCAGCACAGTTCATTTGCAAAAATGGCAAAGTCCTTGCAAGTGAGACCAAGACTCTCCTTAGAAGGAGCAAGTAGTGAGGATGTTTGTTAACAACCAATTGGTCAAGGCAAAAAAAAAAAAAAAAGAGGTCCTCCCTCAATGTTGGCTGAATGAGGCAAAGATGCCACGAAACAGACTCAGCTGTTCAGAATCAGGTGATTTCTGCCATGACATTAAGTTATACAAATATCTCTTAGATTTAATAAAAACCTCTTGACTACAAATCTAGATGCAAATCTATCTTATTTCCCTCCTTAAAGGTAATGCTCAGTCCTTGCCTACACATAGTTTTTACAAACTTAGAGTACTTCAGAGCTCAATCTGTGTTCCCCACTTAGCTCACCTCTTACCAACAGCCAGGGACACATGTGCCCACCTTTCTTCAGAGGTTCCTGAAGTCTTTGTAGATACATTTGAGCCCAGAATGGACAGTAAAATGTATACTCTTTATTTAATCCGACAGTGTCAATTTCACCATCTACTCATTTTTCCTCTGTCGAAAGGCAACTTCCCTGCTGTGTCTTAACAGACAGATAGATACATGGATAGATGGACAGAGACGGATGGATGGATATGTTTTCTAACATATTAACAGAAGGGAGGCTTCATGTGATGAGTGCAGATTTTTCCCCTCAGAGTGTTGAAGCAAACTCTGTGAGATGAGCTATAGGAATGCTATTCAGAGAAGCATCTTAGCTGACAGCCATCTAAGTATGCCACCTAGACTCCTCCTTTCCTTTCTATGGTTTACAGTAATTTGCTTTCTACCTACCAAACACTGGTGAGCCCTGAAGGTTAGATTTTGGGGGCAGCTATAATCAAAAAACTGTTCTTTATTATTAATGCACTGGTAGAAGACCTGGAATAAGCAGGTAGATAGTCTAAGCTCAGCCGTTGGGAAGTTCTAAGCACCATTAAATTCCAAACCAAGTATTTACAAACCTTGACAGCAGATTGGCTGGTGACCTAACTACTGCAACAGACATGTGAGCAATTTCAGCTTGGATCTGCAGCAAACTCACCACACCAGCTCTCACCAGGTCTTTGGTTTGCATTTCTTGTCCGACTCCCAGATGCTAGGAGTCCTCTCCCCAGGACTGGGAGCAGCTGAACCTGTTAGCACTAAGGAACCAACATGGCTCCATCCTAAGCAGGCCATGCACCTGCTTCCCAACCATCAGCCCAGCTGTGCCCTCCCTCACAGTCTCTCCTTTCACCTCAGCCAGTCACGGTAAGAACAGCCAACATTTACTGAGTACTTACTAGGCACCTGGTATTGTTCAAAGTACTTTTTGCATATTAACTCATCTAATTCCCTGAGCCCCATAGGAATGTGCTGGAGGGAGAGAAATACTCTGGCCTAGATTCCCATGTGGTTTCTATTCTCTATTTCTAGCTGTGCAGTAAAGCTTACATAACCTAATTTGCATTATGGTACTATTTTAAAAACCTCCAAAGATCACTGCTTCAGGCATCAATGGAAGCTGTTAGCTCCTACCTCAAATGATAATGCGAGAAAGGATATCTATTCTCACAACTAACACAACTTGAATTCTTGACTTAAAACAGTATTTCTGGAAGATGCTATTAGGAAAGGAAAGGATTTGTTCTTATATAAGAAGTATTAGCAGCTCTGTGCTCTGTAAATAAGTGCTAGAGAGAAACATCAATATTGAAACTCACCTCAGCAGTAGGTTTCTTGGCTCTGCTGTTGTTATTCATTTACCACCTATCTCCTTCCCAGGCTTCCTAGTAACACTGAGAAATCTATGGTCACTGGATGGCATGGCGTCAGATTGTTAGACAGTACGAGTTTGAATTATCATGGAACCTTTCTTATTCTGGATAATTTCAGAGATACCCCCAATCCCTCTCAGGAGGCACTGGCATAAGATGAATGGGAGTTATGGGAAGACCATTCACAGAGCAGGTTGTTTTCAGCTTTAACTGCTCTTAATGTCCTTGGTTTTAGGGCTCTGGGTTACTAGAAATATAATTACTTGGGGGTGCGGGGGGATCTCCTTAGTTCTTTTCCTTAACTCACTACTGAAGGTTTTCCTCCACTGAAGTTATTCATGAAATCTAAGAAATAGGGAAATTGAGTAGGTTAATTAAAAGAGTAAAACTCCCCTTGTTTTTCACCAAAAAAATGTGGTCAGTGTTTAAATTAACCACTTTGTTCTTTGCTGTACCACAAAAACTACATAAAAAGGACTGAAGTATTTGTTGTTCACTTCACTCAGTTCACTTACTTGGAAAGAGGTCCATGAATATAAACCTGATAGGTTTCAGGCTCTCAAAACTGTCAGAAAAATATTTTAAATGGGTAAATTTCCAAGTGATGCCTATTTCAGTGATGTCAAAGACCCTACACATCATTCAATAGTTTATAATTAAATATTAACTAAGTTAATATGCTTTTTGCCACAGCTAACACACTATTTGTCTCCCAAAATGGTATATTAATAGGGCCTATTTATGATAGGCCCAATTCCCCCAACAAGGAGACTCTCACACTTAAAATGTTTCCACTGGTTGGAGCCTCTGTTCACTGGTACCCAGAAAAGAACCTGACATGTGACAAGTACTGGGCTGTTCAAGCAGGACTGGAGTGCAGTTGGTGCTAGTCAGCTATACCTTGTACAACCTTTTTATGGACACCAAAGCCACATTAAATGTACATACAGATTCTGTATGGAAAAGAAAGTTGTTCCAGCAACCTTAAAGTTAGTAATCAAAAGAAACTGCTACTTAGAAACAAATATAAAACATGAAATTCATTTTAATATCTATATATCAAATACAGCCTTAGCACAAAACATCTAGTACATAATGAAATGCATTTATGGGACATACTAAATGAAGCAAATCCTTATTAAAATACTTGGCCTAACGCTCTCAAATCTTTTAAACAAACTCCATGATGGCTGAATAAGGTAGGGAATAAATAATCAAGCTACCTAACCTAGAAAAGACAGATAAATTGCCTTAAGTCTATTTGGTCTCTGCAGACTTGGTATTCACCACTCTGAGTCTTGCTAAAGTTGGTTCTGCAAATAATTAGCTTAACTCAGTCCATTACATATTTTTCCACAGTTACCTTAATATTTTGGTTTTTTTTTTTTTTTTCATTTTCTATTGCTTTTTTTTTTATGGCTTCTTGCTGTTGTTGTATTGGGGCAATACAACACAGATCAGAGATTTTCATTTCTCAGAGAATGAGAAATTGGCACTTTGATCCTCAGCTTGTATAACAATGACATACATGGATCCTACCAGCACTGTTACCAATCTTGCTGCTTATGAAATTCCACCACTTTGGCCAAAAGAGTGCCCTGTCGTTAAAATCTTCTTAGGTGAACTGTTCCTACCATTGAATTCTTATATTTAAACAGGTGCGTGTGTGTAATTTACATACATTTTATATTCTAAGTTTCTGCACACATTCTACACACATTACACATGTAACTCAGTAAAAGTAAAATGTCTCTCTTGAACAAAAAGCAGTTACAAGGGTATTAAAACAAGTGTTGAAAAATAACTGTTTTACATTTAGACCATAAAATTTTTAAAGGTAATGTGATGACATAAGACCTAAGAGATCAAATACATCATATATGATTGTCATATATGCATGTTGTATTAATTATTTTTCTCTTTAATCAGAAAATAAAAGAGCTTACCTTTGTATACTGAGATCACAGCTTACAGTCACTATATCTCAGCCTATTTTATACAAGTGATATGGCTACGAAGGTCCGAGGAGAACGAGAATAAAGTGAGATAAACGTGCTGAAAACTGCTTAAAAGTATTAACCTGAAATACACAGAGGGTCCAACACCAGTTTTATAAATACATTAACGAGGTATTTCCAGCTCTTCAATTAATAATGGTGACCGATTCATGATTTTCAAACATTCACTCAAATTTTTAAAAAAGAAGAAAATAAAAGGCTAATACCAGCAAAATCTATCAGTGGTTTGTTCCCCAGGCTAACAATTTGAGAGAGACTACAAATGACTTCAAGAACTATGTAAACCCAGCTCCTTGCTTCACCGTACCATGCATGCCATCTAATCAGTGTGAGGTATGTTGGAAATCTATTGGACCAATTACCTTGCACAAGAGATGGGGTGCTCCTGCAGCCTGAAGAAACACAGGATGCAAGCCACATCCCTGGCTAGGCGCCAGTCCCCATGCAGAGGATATGGCTTCAAGGAGGACCCCCATCTCTGAGAAATTATAATAGTGCTAACTGACGCAGTCAGGAATGTAACTGTTCGAATTTATGTGCTAAAAAAGTTTAAAAACCGTCAGAAGATAGCACAGCTCACACGCTAATTCTAAGTTCTACATTGGTCTGTAACTCCCTGACAAGAAACTATGCTAAGAGGGGTCAAGTACAGATATTGCTAGGTTTCCAAAGGAAAAGTTTTAAAACAGACACCGTGGCTTTGAATAAAGTATTGCTCTTCTTTAAAATGCTCAGTCATTGCTTTCAAAAAGAAAGTGTCAGAGTGGTGTATCTGAAAGCTGGATAGCCTCAGGGTGTCACATTGCTCTTAAGACCAAGACATAGAATTGCCATTTCAAGCCAGACAACCTGATGGTTCTAGAAGTCAGAGAAGAAATCTTGAGGGCCCAAGTGAATAATAAATGGTGCGACGCTCAGAGGCTGGCAATAGGGGCTGTCAATGAAAAAACCGCCTACAGTGGAGAAAAGAGCAGAGAAGCAAAACTTTATGTTAATTTCACACAATTTGGTGAAGCCAAGGGCTTCATTTATATTTCTCTGCTCTTTCAGCTGTAAGTGGAATTTTCATTACAAAATGGAGGGGTGGGAAGGGCAACAGGTGGAGGGGGACACTTAATTCATTACAGAATTTAAACAGTTGAACTTGCATGGTTACCACTTCTAACAAAGGACTGACAGCTCGATTATTTTAAGTAAAGCAGAGAAATGTAAAAGTTTGCAGCAACTGGGCAGGTTTACAACATGGTTAGTAACTTCCAACAAACAACAAAATTAAAAAAAAAAAGAAAAGACTTGGTAGAAACCATTTGAAATGACTGCCATCATGTTGGAAAACAGCACAGCTCCCTTTTCTCCATTATAGAGGGGTTGAGCTATGAAGCAGAGTCAGCTACTTCAAAAGAATTTTCTAAAGAGAAATCTCCAGAGAGATTCCAACTTGGAATCCAAATTTGATGATCCAATTTCAAATAACAATACAGCTGCAGCTGCCAATTAATAGTATTCCAAAACCAAAGAAGACTATTATAAATATTTAATAAAAACTGGACACTATCAGCCATGCTTTTTCTTCTCAGTGATGGCTCTGTTTCATCCATAGGTCAGCAAAACGAATCAATGAAACATGAAAATTCCCATCTAAAATGGGCCCTCTTGTTTATGTCTAGCCACTAATGCACAGGATGAAAATGATAAGTTACAGCTATTTCCAGCAAGTGATGAGGTTTTATTAAAGTATCACCCACCACTAATAAAGACAAAAGGTCAAAGAGAAGAAACAAACTAATCATTGTATAAATACATCTGAGAAGTGGCACTATCATTTGTTTTACATCGCTCATTTAGTGGCCCCAAAGTAACTTGGTACATTAATTTGCCATATTTTGTGAAGCCCATTCTCACTGATGAGCACTGTTCAATTCCAAAAAGGAGAATTTAATAGGGAAAAGGAGAGCTAATTCATACTAAAAGCAGACATTTTTTAAGACAAACTTGTAAATATCAACAGGGGACCGACCCACTGCTGCCTTCATGGGGGTGAGTACCTTAATGAAACCATTACCTTCTAGTAACATCATCGGCTTTCCAAACAAGGTGAGAATGCAAGTGGAGGACTTAGGTCTGCACCCTTTACAGAACAGCACAATGTTACCGGACTGATCAATTTCCACCAGCATAATCAGGTGTCTTAAAAATAAATGCTGACCCATGGCTGAAACCTGTCACTTTTCACAGCAGCACTCAACAAGAACTGGGACAATCGAAGAGCAAGTTTTTATGGGGACCCTGTTGCTGCTTTAGATTCTGATGTAATTGAAGAGGAAAGGAGACCCTTCAATGAATCCCAGCAAAACAGCTAATCTTCTATCTGCATGAAAAAGGCCAGGGAGTGAACACAATATCTTACAGAGTGAAGAAGGCCACAAGAACAAAAGAAGGTGATTGATCGATTAATTTATTATTTTTTAAAACTTGGAAATTCGGAAACTAAATAATCACATTCTTCCTTCCCCATCTCTGGGTAGTACCATCACTTTAATAAGCAATTGCTTGGATAACAGAATATAACCTTTATCGCAGGGATGCCCTTGCACAAAGGGCTTACAAAGGAAGTAAACTGGCTCAAACTAACAATTGCCTTTGCTTTGTTGTAGCAGTTTGCTTACAAATGAATGGGCTTCTAGGGCTAAGTTGTTATTAGTTTTCAATTCCTTGTCATTTGATACCAAAACATATCAAAAATAATAAGCTAAAACAATATTCAAACCCATATTTTATTGGCTTTAATTACACACTTCAATATTTACAAAGTTAAAGTTTAAATGAAAAGTCTCTATTGTATTAAAAAAAATAACTACAGCCCAATTAAAGTGCCCTGGGGCAAATACATATCAATCAGCTGAGAATCAGTGACTGCATCAGGAACCAGGCAGTACTCTTGTGTTACAACAAAGCAGTTTATTTGTGATCAGTGTTTGAGACTCTATACATCCTTCACAAATTTAATTTTACATAATCTGATACTTCTCTTAAAACTTAAACTTTGAACTGCTAGACTTTTATTTCCTTAGAACAGAAGGGCTGGTATAAGTTATTTTCCAGAAATGAGGTACCGTTTCACAGAACTGGTTTCTTTTTTTTGTTTGTTTTCAAGTTTTAGAGAACTAAATTTGCATTTGTTAAAATCAAAAAGTAGGAAAGATGTTCTTTACAAATAATTTTGATCAAGTATGTGTTCAAAGAAAGCAGAATAAAAAGGCTTTTTCTCTAACATTCTGTATTGTACTGTATTCAATAGGAATTAGCTTCTGTCATTTGCTAAAAGAATGAGTAGTGGGGAACAGGATATGTTGGGAATTTCATAACGGGCAACAGAACCATTCTCTTGGGTAAACCTACAGAGAAAAGAAACGGAGAGGACTCCAAATAAGTTTAATACTCCAATAAAAATTTCAGGTAAAAAAAAATCTTACAGTAATTATCATTAACCTTTTCCAGATTAGTCAGTCAACATGTACCATTTTGGAAGAGGCCCACAAATCTCTCACAGATATATTTTGAAATTGCTCTGAATAGTTTAATAAATAGTATTTTCCACTCAAAATGAAGATGGCTACATCACAGGAAGCAATTTCATTTGAGTGAGCTGCCACAAATTCTAAAGATCAAAAGCAAAGCTGTTGATTAATATTCTAAAGTGACTCTAGAAATCCATATAGTTCTCAATTTGGCACATCACATATTACAAAAGAAACAAGGGTTGTCAAGAATCAAAGTAAAGCTTTCTGTGCAGGCCTCAGTTGCCCAGAAAGACAGCTCAACTGGAGCCATGACCAGGTCTGTGTCTCTCTTCTTAATGGCTACTGCCGATATTGGCATGGCAAATCTGGAAAGATTAATTGCTTAATTAATTTGTAATTAAATACGTTCTTGTGGCCTCACAAACTTCTGCATACCCAAGCATGATTTGAAATCTGCTCCTATTTCTACTCTAATATTTAACCTATGGAGAAATCACAAAGCAGCAACAGCAGGTATTCAAGAGCACCAGATGATCAGAGGGAAATTACCCCACATGCAACAGCTTTACAAAGGCCAAAAGACATATTTACCTTACAGCCAAAATAAAGCATCGTTTTAGTAGGTTTGCATCACAGTAACATTTAAAAACCAAATCTTTTATGTGAAAAATGGGGGCATCAAATTTCACCAGCTTTGGAAGTCAGTTATATGGCACATGGAAGAGAGGAGCCTTCTGAAGTGGGGGCTCAGAGGCCGCAAGGTGAAAATATGTTAAAGGAGGAAAGGGAGGAACAAGAGAGAAAAATTAAAAAGACTGAGGAAAAACATGAATGTAACTTGGAGTCTAGATATAAAAGTGTTTTAAAGGAAAAAATTAAGCTCTAGCAAACCCTTACTAAAGAATCTGAAACTTACTATATAATCTAAAAGAAAGACACAGACTTAAAAACCTGCCCCAGAATGCTTTGGCACTTACACAAGACACAGTACAGTGAGTCTAGTGAGTCAAAATATATTTAGATAAATTGACCAGACCTAATTCACAGGAAGGATGAGGTGGTCAGGATATCCAGAAGCTAGCTGAATGGTAAAAGCAAATGGCCAAACCAAAAAGCATTAGAAAGTTTAAATTTAGAAGGAAATCTGGGTGGAAAGCATATTCTTAGATCCGTCCTCAATTCCTAATCACCCCATTATTGCTCCAGCTCAAAATACGGGGAAGCCTTGACCATACCTGATTGTGCTAGAGGAGACATTCAGGTCAAGGATGTAACTCCAGGCTCCAAACTTTGCCTCAAAGAAAACTTGTTCCAAATGTTTGACCCTTGCAACTTCACATCTTTCCAGGATATAAATTATCTATCTTAATGGGCAAGGTGTTAAAACTATTCACTTTATACCTATTTCTACAGTTAGGAAATCAGATGAAGCTTCAGTTTAGCAGTGGCTTAAGGACTACAATTTTCATCCAAACAAAAATGGCAAAGCTGACATGTAAAGAGAAAAAGCACAATGTGAAGGTCTGAAGCTCATGTAGAGGACTAACGCCACAAGTGGCAATACAGAAAGAGCTTTTCCCTTCTGTGTGCATGCACACCCAGCCTGGGGCACGCTAACTCACACACATTTACACACGCGCGCACACATACGCTCTCTTGCTCTCTTCTCTCAATGACAAGGTCCTGCACATGGCTGATTCTATAAGATGTAGCACCTGAGTTAGGAAAAATATCTAAGAGCATATCACTGACTCCAAACCTATTGCCTCCATTGCCACATAAACCTCATTCAAAAGTTATCCAAAGGGCCACTAGGGTTCATTTATGAATTTGCTTTTACTTTTTATTTTGCAGGGGAGAAGAAAAACACCTATGATATTCTACCATGTACTACAGACTTTCTGCAATAAGCACTTAAGTGACACATCTGGTGATACCCCCATCACCTCCTCTCTAGAACCAATGACACCTATTTACTTCACCTTCAAAGGAAAATTTATGGAAAAGGATGATGGCTACAAATTTGAAGTGAGCATTTCCTATTCTTGACTCAAATTACCCATAGGTTCATACAGTTCCAAACCAGAAACTTAAACATAGCTATATAACTGGTAGGCAGCCAAGCTAGAAACTGGGTATGGCCCTTCAGTAGCCTTTGAATGGTGTATAAGTTGGCTGTAAGAAGAACTACTTAAAATATTTAATTTCGATATGGTCAGAAACAGGCAATTAGAACAAGCAGTCCTTCAATCAGGCAAAGCGGAGAGAAGAGCAACTCCAACCAAACCAAGAACCACAAGGTTGTGGCATTTTCAAAGGGAATTTAAGTTGGGTCACTAGAATGAATAGGTCTGAGATCCTCCGATTCATTTACAGAAACCCTAGATACAAACTGTGCTTTAGATTGTTGTGACAGTTGCTAAAAGGAGGTATCAGTAAGGTGGTATACATACCATAGGCTGGGGCAGCTGTGCTGTAACCATATGGTGTTCCATATCCTAGTGCAAAGAAGAAGAAAGCAGATCAGTCCAAGACCCAGGGCAATCATCACTGGCCCAATTCACCAGCACTACCTGGCCCGAGACCGTGGGCCCTGAGACTTCTTCCAGATAGTGTATGAATAAGAACCACTGCCAAAGTAGTCTAGCCACTCTCTCTGTGCTTGCTTAGATGTGGAAGCTCCTCACCATGGCCTACAAGGCCCTCCTTGATCTACCCTCACTATCTTGCATCTCTTTCTCACTGTACTTCCCACAATGCATTATATTAATAAGTATTTGTCTCTTGTCTGTGTTACCCACTGGAGTGGCAGAGACCTGGTCAATCTTATCTGTCTTTGCATCATCTGAACCTAGCAGAATGTTTAACATATAGGAACCATTCGCTAAATATAATTTGTCAAACGAAATACTTAGAAACAAATTATCAATTTCCCAAAATTGGAAAACAACTTTCCAATTCTCTTTTCAGAAAGTAGTGACAGAGCAGGCTGAGGCTTCAATTGCCATTACAGAAGGCACATAGGTCAGCTTGTGAGCCCAAGGGCAAGGTCTATGACTTGTTGATATTTGAATTCTTGGCCTTAGCATAGGTTCTCACAGTAAATGCTGGTCAATTTGACATTAACATCTGGTGCCTATGAAAAAGGCTCACATTATTAAGTAAGAACTAGTATTAAAGAACACAAAAATTTTTGAACCAATTAGTTGACAGTAATTGTTCTTTTTTTTTTTTTTGAGACTGGATCTTGCTCTGTCGCCCAGGGTGGTGTGCAGTGGTGCAATCATAGTTCACAGCAACCTCAAACTCCTGGGCTTAAGTGATCCTCCTACCTTAACCTCCTGAGTAGCTGGGACTATAGGTGCTCACCACTAGGCCCAGCTAAATTTTCTATTTTTTGTAGAGATGTGGTCTCACTATGTTGCCAGGCTGGTCTGAAATTCCTGGCCTCAAGCAATCCTTCTGCCTTGGCCTCCCAAAGTGCTGGGATTACAAGCATGAGCCACTGCGCCTGGCCTAATTTCTTCTATGTCCTTATTTAGACAATTAACTTCTGAGTCCCATTTTTTCATCTATGAAATGGGAAACTTCCCAAGCTACTTTATAATTTTGTTGTATAGATTGGAAATACTATGTTAGTAGAAGCTGCAATCTTTACTCTTTCAGTAAAATATCTTAAAAATATGTAAATACAAAATCACTTGGGTAAATCTCTAGATAAAAGAAGTGTCTAAAATAGAACCAGGGCACAAAATCAACATGGGACTTTCACACTATACCCAAACCACATCAAGTTTTTCCACGTTACGAGTCCTTTTTCTATAACCATTTCTGCTGTTCAGAGTGATTTTGTTCCCTCCTTCTCTGGATGACCAACTGCAACTCATCCTTGAGATCAGGATCAAATATCACCTCGTCTGTGAAGTCTCTCAGGTTTGCTGTTCACTCCTTTGCCCACCCCATGTTACAGCTTGCATCATATTACATTCTGTTTATTCAATATCTGTTCCTACCCCATCTGACCCCAAGTATTCGTTGAGGCAAAGGCTAGATCTTAGGCATCTATTTCTCACTGTACTTCCCCAATGGACCACATCACCAAAGAGAAGAAAGGCTCATCTCAATAACTTGTCTATTATTGTTAATAAAAGCTTTGCCCTTTCAATGATGCACTAAATAAGGCTAAAAATATTAAGATTCAGTAGAAATAGGGATGCACAGAGTATCTTAATTTTGGACACATGTACTGTATCAAACTATAAGAAAACTCATAACCTTTTCCTTTTACCCCCAGTGCTCATCTTTCAGTGTTCTCTATCTCATCTCATTAAATGGCAAAATCATCCCACTTAGTTCCCCTAACTAAAAATCCTAGGAGATGAGATATGCTTGAAGTCTCATTCTTCATCATTTTTTATTAAATTTATCAGGTTTGCTTCCTCAAAATTCTTCCAATCTATTCTCTTCTTGCCTCCCATCTAATTCCCTGCCTCCACTGGTGATGCTTCTATCATCTCTGACTTAGTAGTCTGCAACAGCCTTCTTTTTTTTCTTTTTTTAATTGACGCATAATAGATGTACACAGTTTCAGGGTATGTGTGATAATTTAACACAGTCATGTAATTTGTAAAGATCAAATCAGTGTACTGGGGATATCCATTACCTTAAATATTTGTCTTTTCTTTATGCTAGAACCATTTGAATTCTTCTCTTCTAGCTATTTTGAAAAGCACAATAGATAACTGTAAACTATATGCAATAGCCTTCTAACTGGTCTTCTCATGCCCACTCCTATCTCCCTAATCTATTCTTTACACTATATAAAGAATAATCTTCACAAATAAAGTCTCAACTTGTCAGTGCTCCTTAAAACCTATCATGACTTCTACTACACTTAGGATTCTAAGTCCAAAATCCAAACCATGGCCCCCCGGGACTGACATCCAGCTTGAACTCGCATCACTTTCAGTCTGTGCACCGCACCCAGTGCTCTCCATGCTCCAGACATTTCGGGCTTCTTCTGCTTCTTCAAAGAAGTCAAATTCCCCACCGCCAACACCACAGGGCCTCTACACATGCTTATCCCTCTGTGTGCAATACTCTTCAATCTCAGTCTTCTCTTAGTTAACTCCTACTCATTTTTCAAAGCTCAATTCAAATGTTACTTATTCTACTAACCCTTCAGGGACCCACTAGACTAGATTAGGTTCCTCTGTTACATGCTCTCATAGCATTACGTCCTCCTTCATCGCACTCATCTCAGCTTATAACTGTTATTACTTGATTAGTCTAATCTACATCTCATCCTTTAAGCTGCATAAACTGCATGAGAGCAAAATCCATGCCTGGTATGTGCCAAAGCAGGCACATTCTTTATAAGACATCTTTGAGTGGTATACCTACTGGAATCAGCTTCTAGAAGAATTCCAAAGCCACATCATTTATAAAATTTTCCAAATGGGCCGGGCTCACAGTGGCTCACGCCTATAGTCCTAGTACTTTGGAAGGCCAAGGCAGGAGGATTGCTTGAGGATAGGAGTTCAAGACCAGCCTGAGCAACATATCGAGACACCATCTCCACAAAAAATTTTAAAATTAGCCAGACATAGTGGCATGTGCCTGTAGTCCCAGCTACTTGGGAGGGTGAGACAGGAGGATTGCTTGAGCCCAGAAGTTTGAGGTTGCAGTGAGCTATGATGACACCACTGCACACTAGCCCAGGTGACAGAACAAGATCCTGTCTCAAAAAAAAGGACAAAACACAAAAAACCTTCCCAAATGGCCTATTCTAATTCTTTCTAGGAGGAAAATACAACCAAAGTGAACCCTTAAGGATATTATCTAAAAAATAATGACTGGATAAGACCCAATCTTTATAACAAATTCATCATTATCAGTAAATACAAGTGGTTTACTTATCAAGTTAAAAGTACCATACTTTCAATATTACAAAGACCTTGATTTTAATGAGACAACTATACGTCTACTACTAAAATGACATAAGGATCAGAACAGAAGGCAGGGAGAGGTGGAATGGAAAGAATGTAAACTTTGGAAATGCAAACACCTACATTCAAATTCTTAGTCTGCTGTTTAGGAGTTGTTTTATCCTGGGCTACTTGCCTTATCTCCCTAAACCTCAGTCTCCTTACCTGGAAAATAACTTCTACTTGAGGAAATACTGTGAGGATTAAAAACAATTAAGTGAAATCATTTACATAAAAGTATCTGGTATATAGTAAGCACTGGATAAATGAGTGCCCAACCACCCCACACGTTTTTTTTCTTTTTTGTACTTCTTTAGCTTTTGACAGTTCCCAAACACTGAGTTTAACAAAGACTAATAATGCCAGGCTTCACCCAATTAAGTAGCCTCTTATCAGCAGTTTTTCTCTCCTGTTATACCTAACCTGTCATTCACATCCCCACTGAATACACTCTGCTCAGATGTCCAAACTCCTCAATCTGTGGAACTTCTTATAATTCCTAATCAAAATATGTTCCCTCAACCAAGTGCAATGTTGCTCATCTGTCATCTCCCTCCAGGAAGCCTCCAGTAACTCAGCAGATTCCAGGAGAAAACCTATGACATTCTGTAGATTCTCTACTTTGCATTTCTGTGTAAATTTCATCTTATCCCGTGTTCTATTTCCAGAGACCCTGTATAACCTTGGAAAATGCTGTTCTTCAAATTTTGGCCCAGAAAAGGGGACCCATCTCTTATAGGCTGTACTATACCTGGAGCTATGTAGCCAGGAGCAGCTGTCGCCCCAACAAAAGCTCCCCTTGTTAGAGTTCCTCTTCCTCTGCCCCGAACAGCCTGGACTGCTGCAGACACAGCTGTATTCACAACACCCTTCGCCTGTTCAAAATAACATATTTTCGTTACTGAAAGAAGTATAAGAACTATCATCCTGTCATCTCTGTAATGCACAACCACTATGAGAAGCTATGAGCCTGTAGGTGAGACAGTGAGTTCTCTGTGACCTTGAACCTTCAATTTATCATCTATAAAATGAAAATGACACGTACCTTACAGAGTTGTTCAAGAGAATATGCTGGGCACATAAAAGCATGCAAATAACTTTTCACTTGGGTGCTATTCAGAGTTCATTTTGTACACACAAATTTCAGTATCAAATTACTACTACTGTAATATCCAAAGTCATTTTGGGCCTGACTAAAGTAATTATAGACGCTTGATACCTAGGTTCCAAGTCCACTAAATTCTCCACCCAGAGGCAGAAAATACCTCAGCAACTACCTAGAATAAGCTGTGAATCTGAGTCAGGTTAGGGGGAAAAAAAGGACTAATACAGGAGAACCAACGATGAGGATGTCAGCTCCTGCTTTAAGTAACTGTGACTTCAGGAAGGTCATGGGATTTCTTTGAACCTGTTTCCTCTGCTGTCTGTGTATGTGTATATATGTACGTATTAACTATTAAATAAATATATACCACCTCAAAAGCCTCTTCCTTGTTCTAAAATGCCATGCAACACTGGTGAAATCACATAATATCTCTCTATGGCAGTCTCCCACTAATTATAAAATGAGAATAATGATACCCACTTTGTTTTCCTTACTTTAGACTAGAAAGAGCAATTGAGAGAACTGAAAAACATTCTGAAAAGTAGAACAGAGAAGTCCAGGAATAAGAGTACACAGGACTGCTGAAACACTGTTTCCAAACTGAAATTTTAAGAAAATCAAAAGGTGTCTAGTTTTAAACTAAATAGCATATTTTTAATATAAAATATGCAAAAACTCAATAGAAACTACTAGAATTCCCCGCTATAAGCAAGTGCAAGAAAAAGGGTGCACAGCCTCAAAGTACACTGTATGATAAAGTCAACACTATCTCAGAAGCTCAAAGAGTCAAAATATACACACATTTATCTCACATTAAAAAATCACCATCCTTTATTCCTCCCAGGATAGCCTCTACCGCTAATGCAACTGGGCAGAAGACAGTTTCAAGGTCAAATGTACCATACACAGAGACAGCCATTTTTGTTTTTGTCTAAAATAAACCAACTCACACATCCAAAATAGACTGTTTCTTGGCTGTCGAGCACATTGAACACATGAGTTTTACAGCTTCTAGTATGGAAAATTTCTAAAATGAGTGAACTTCCTGTAGATATCTTTTTTTTTTTTTTTAACATGTTTTAGTCAAAAGTAGTCAGGAAGCAACAATCTGGCAGCAGCACAGTGATTCCACACAAATCTAGCTCATGTCACTGGAAACAAACTTTACTACCTAATAAATATCTGCACATAGACTTTTTAAACGCTAGAATTAACTGACCAAATACAAAATGTAATGTGGGAAAAAAAAACACAACAAAACATGGTAACAATTATCTTTCTACAAATCTGAACATATTTTGTCCTATATTTCCTAGAAGATTTTAGCAAAAAAAAATCTTATTTTCTATATGTAGTTATTTTTTACGTCATCTCTATAAAAGCTAGTTTTCCCTATTTATCTTTTGAATCCTAGAATTTTAGCAGTAATTACAGTAAATACAAAACAAATTTCTAGATTGATATAATATGTAAAAGTAAAATGCCCATGACCTTTGGAAGGAGAAGAACCTGGTTTTAAAAGGAACCTCTACTATCAATTAGCTATGTTACTACTGGCAAGTACCTCAATTTCTTTGGTCATCATTTCCTTATCTGTAAAATGAGATCAATTCTACCCTCCTACAAAGGACTTAGCATATGTAAAAGAATCTAAAGAAAATGTTTAACATAGAGTCTTAATCTAAGCTTCATTCTATTAGTCTAAGCATTTTTAATTTATGTTTCTATCACATAATGTATTCAGACATTATTACACCAGTACTCTCCATGTGTCAAAGGATATCATATTTACTGATGTAACTCTTTTTCCCACACAATCATAGATATGGTATACATCTAGAAAATATTTTTGCATGCATAAATGAATGGATGGAATAATTTCATATCCATGAGCATGTAATTTAGAGGCTATTTTTTTCTAAATAACTTGCTAAGATCCTGGGCCTTTAGAAGTACTGACATTCCCAAGGCCAGTAATAAACACAAGCAACAAAGTGTCAAGTTTTGTGCCATCCACAAAGGAAAACCCAAAATAAAGCAAAATGACAAAACTGGAGAGAGCACCTGTAAACTATGATGAATATAAGCCCCAAGTACTCTTGGCAGCTTCCTAAACAACTGCTTGCACCTTATTAAGGTCCAAATCACTTCAACACTATACCTCATCAAGCATCACCTCAACCCTCCAAATAAGGCTAATACCCTCTTTTTCTTTTTTTTTTTTTAAATATATGGTCTTGCACTGTTGCCCAGGCTGCAGTCCAGCAGCCCAAACATGGCTCACTGCAGCCTCAAACTCCTGGGCTCAAGAGATCCTCCTGCCTCCTCAGCCTCCCAAGTAGCTGGGACTACAGGCACACGCCACCATGCCCAGCTGATTTTATTTTTTTTTGTAGAGATGGTGTCTTAATATGTTGCCCAGGCTGGTCTCAAACTCCTGAGCTCAAGTGATCCTTCCACCTCAGTCTCCCAAAGTGCTGAGATTACAGGCATGAGCCACCACACCTGGCCAGATTCTTTTTTACATATATAATTTGCTTAGAAAGACCACAGAACAGGGAACCACTAATACATTTATTATATATTATTCATGAACTGACCCAAAGAAAAGACTGCCAAACGTAGGAACAAGAAACAACTTCAGAAAAAACTAAAGTGGCACGTGGACAAGAAAGCAAATTTAATTCCTATAACATTTTTCAAATGTTCTGTAAGGTTTAATGCTTAACTCATACCTGAGGGATAATCTTCTTTTTCTTATTATTTGCTGCATTGGGTCCAGAAAACAGCTTCTCCAGGGCAGCTAAAGCTGCACTTGCCTTTGCCACTTTCTTATTTGGACCTGCGCCTCTGAATTTCTGACCATCTACTTCTACCTAAAATCAAGAACAATACTTTGTAATTATCCCATGCAATTCCTCTATGTAGTTTTAATTTAAATGTATCCTAACATAGAAAACATGAAAAAAATCTAACAGTGCCACAGAACTGACTCAGTCTAAAACTTTTTTACATATAAACTCAGGATATCCTATGTCTTTGTGAGGAAAAAGAAGGCTGGCTCGTATCAAGGCACACACCTCCATTACAAAGCGCTTGTCATGGCTTCCCCCAGTCTCCGAGATGAGTTCATACTTGAGACCTCTTCTTTTTTCATTGAGCTCCATTACAGGATTTTTGCCACTTGCTGTGAGGATAGGGCCCTGAGTTCTTACCTATAAGAGAAAGGGAAACTGGAGGTTCAATCAAGTAGCATTTTAGAATATTAAATATCTTATTAATATAATTATGCTAAAAGAAGGGCTCAAAAATTCTACTTTAAAGCATTTAGGGGCGAGGATGAGTCACCTCTGTATACAAATGGCACAATATTATTAAAGGTGTGAAAACTCTACAAGCAGTAAATACTGCAGTCATGCGGCCAGACTGCCTTCAAAACAGGGCTGTCCGAACAGACTAGTATTCAAGACTGTAGCCTCACCACTACAGGGACTCAAGGGTCTGATCTGTGGTGTTCATGATCTAAGAATAATACTCTAAATTACTAACAAAGAGAACAGAACAACTGGGATTCACATGATGCCTAAGGGTTCACCACTTGTCATCTTTAGGGTTAGGAAGAAAGAAGCCTCAATTTGGGATATGAGGGAAATGTTCCTATACATCTCTCAGTCTCTCTAAACAGATTTAAGGGCACCTAAGGTAAAAACAGTAAGCTACAGGTTATGGATTCTGAAACCTAAAAATAACAGTAAAGACAGTCATTCCCTCCCCTCAAGGAGCCAGACTGTAGTGGGAGGGACAGACATAATCACTGCAAAACAATGTATGCTAGGGAACTAATGTATGCTATGGAAACATAGTAGAAGGGATCACTTTCTAGGGCAACCAAGATAGTTTTCCTGGAAGAGACATGTGAATCTGACCTTAACATGGAAGTACCAGACCATCATCAGGTAATTCAAAGACGGACGTTTTGAACAAAAGAAACAATAATAGCAATGCAAAGGCCCAAGAAAGGGAAAGAATGTTTGAGAATGGCAAGAAAAGAAAGTGCGGAGAGGAGGCTGGTGTATTAGAATCTGATCAGAAAAACCACTGATGTGGCCCAATCACATAGGACTTCATATGCCAAGCAAATAAGCTTTAGACTTTCTCATGGATAACGGGGAGCCACTAAAAGAGATAAACCTGGAAAAATGACATGGTTAGATTTGTGTTGTAGAAAAATCACTCTAACAGTGGTGGAAAGAACTGACCTCAGGAAGCTGTAAGACTAGAAATAGGAAAGAGAAATAATTCATGCAAGAATGTGAAGGTACAAATGAAGAGAGAGGCTAGCACCACAAACAAACCCTCCCCCGAAAAAAATACTACAATTATAGTTTTGAGAAAGGAAAAACCAAAGATTGAGCACTTCTTGAGGTCAAAGATCATGTTTATAATTCCACCACAGTAGTTACTCAAGAAATGCTGAATAAACAGAAAGAATGCCCAAAACTATCATTATTATGTATACAAACTTAATGGACATAAACATTTTTTTTTTTTGAGACAGAGTCTCACTCCGTTGCCCTGAGTAGAGTGCCATGTTATCATCCTAGCTCACAGCAACCTCAAACTCCTGGGCTCAAGCAATCCTCCTGCCTCAGCCTCCCAAGTAGCTGGGCCTGCAGGCGTACACCACAACACCCAGCTAATTTTTCTATTTTTAGTAGAGATGGGGTCTTGCTCTTACTCAGGCTGGTCTCGAACTCCTGACCTCAAGCAATCCTCCCACCTCTGCCTCCCAGAGTGCTAGGATTACAGGAGTGAGCCATTGTGCTCGGCCCAAGATTCTCTTGATAAAATACCCTAAAGCTGGTGTGATGTGGTTGATACTGCAGAAGTCAAACAATGGACAATTTTTAAAGGAAAGCTTAATAAACATTCCTGGGTATTTTGCAATAAACATCCCTTCTTGATACGTTTTTATAATCTACATTGCTAAAATTTCATGGCAAATCTCCAGTGAACATATTTAAGAGATAGTAAGTAATTTTAAACTAGGTCTACAGCAATCACTCTTTTTTCCAAACCTGAAATCACTTTTATAAAAGTGAATTAACACATAAAAATATCAGAATTTTAATGTTACTACTATTTTAAATGAAGAATAAGGGTTTTCTTCTCCCCCCTCGTTACTACAATATACAGAAACAAAATATAGATATAGTAACTATTAAAACCTTCACATGCTCAATGTGGCTGATATTAGTGCAGCCCACAATGCTCTCTCCATTCTTAATTCTTTTTGTCCTTAATGGTCTGGACCTAATAATTAATTAGCCCTTTCTTCTTATGGTATATGTATTAACATTTGCCAGCAAAACAGTATCTTGCCTTGTGACTACCCTCTGTAATTGACCAGTCCTCTAAACAGCCAGGTGCCACGCCTTCTATCCTCCACAGCAGCAGTCTCCAACCCCCGGGGCCACACCGGTACTGGTCCGTGGTCTATCAGGAACCCGGCACCACAACAGGAGGTGAGTGGTGGGCCAGCAAGCAACCGTTATCTGTATTTACAGCCGCTCCCCCACTGCTCGCATCATGGCATAAACTCCACCTCCTGTCACATCAGCAGTGGCATTAGATTCTTACAGTGGGTGTGGACCCTACTGTAAACTGCTCATGTAAGGGATCTAGGTTGTGCGCTCCTTATGAGAATCTAATGCCTGGTGATCTGAGGTGGAGCTGAGGTGGTGATGCTAGTGCTGGTGAGTGTCTGCAAATACAGATTATCATTAGCAGAGAGGTCTGACTGAACAATAAATGTAATGTGCTTGAATCATCCTGAAACCATCCCCCTCCCCCAGTCCGTGGAAAAACTGTCTTCCACGAAACCGGTCCCTGGTGTCAAAAAAGTTGGGGAATGCTACTCCACAACATCACATGAAGAGTCAAGTGTGGCTTTCTCGGGCTTCAATCCCCATCACTTCTCTTCATACTAACCCACTTGGCATTTCTCAAAGATTTACTTTCACAACTCCATGTCATTATACCTCTTCTTTGTCCAGCCCAGAATGCCTGCTTTCTACCTCTTTCCCACACGGCAAAACTCATCATCTAAAACCTTGCTAACCTTTACTCCCTTGGATTTTATATGGCTGTGAGCGTGTATATAAGTCTCACAACCACTTCTTCGAGATTTCACATTATCATATTTATTTTGCAATTGCAGTGCTTATCACATTTCATTATCATTCATTACACACATGTGTTTTTACCCTTCTAACCTGGTAGCAACTTCAGGCTCCAGACACAATTTCTGCAGTACCTGGCACTAAGCAGGCATTAAAAGGGGTCTATGGACTGAAAAAACTAGTCTATTAGTCCTTAATAAACACTTATTCTTACACATGACAAACTAAGACCTTTTTCTATTTTCTGTTTTGGGACAGGGTCTCACTCTACTGCCCAGGCTGGAGTGCAATGGCATTGTCATAGCTCATTATAACCTCAAACTCCTGGGCTCAACAAATCCTCTTGCCTCAGCCTCTGGAGTAGCTGGGACTACAGGTGCATGCTATCACGCCTGGCTAATTTTTTTATTTTTTGTAGAGATGGTGTCTCACTATATTGCTCAGGCTGGTCTTGAATTCCTGGCCTCAGCCTCCCAAGGTACTAGGATTCTAAGCATGAGCCACCACACCCAGCCGACAAAGTAAAACCCTTTATTAATGTAAGCTTTTCTGTTACTTTAAAGCCAAATCTCTTTACACAAAATGCAGTAAACAAGGGTTCCGTTAATTCCCCAATGTGCTGTATATACTCAGTACTTGGATTTTGTTCTATTCTGTTATCTGTGGTGATAAGCTCACAGTCTGAGGTACACACTGGGTCAGGCTATGCCTTCCTTCAGGGCTGGACCAACTAAATGATGATCCAATGCTCCCTACAGCTTAGCACAAACTTCAAATAATCCCAAATTTCCTCCATTAGATCTTTTAGGTTTTTGCCCTTCGGTTATTGTTGATACTCTTGATACATTATAGTTGTGAAATCATGGAAGCAGCTTCCATGGCCAGTAATAGAGAAATGCTGTAATAGTTAAATTAGGATATATTCATGTGTTGGGTAGTATACAGTTATGTTTACAGGTGTTTTTAGAATCAAGTGAAAAAAATCAACATGTAAAACTGCATGAAAATATGACTATCTCCATAAAAATATTCATTAAAAAAAGCCAGATAAAAATAAACCAAAACACTAACAATATCTGCCTCTGGAATCTACAGGTTTGTATATGCTTTTGATTTTCTTATTTATACTCTTCCACATCTCTCACATTTCCTACAATGCATATATATGACTGTTGTCTAAGAAAAAAACATATAAGTATACCTCTAAGGTACTGGAGGTTTCAGTTGTAGAATTTCCAGTATTATTGCTTGAGTTTGAAGACACTGTTTCATTTTTGCTTTCATTATCTGATTTCTCATCGGAACTCATACATTCAATATCTGCATCAAAGCCTGTTGGGTATCCCATTGCTTGCAATACCTGTACAAATTACATTAAGATGCAATTTTATTCAGACATTAGAGACCAGAGATTAGATGAAATATTAAGCATAAAAATTTCAAATTCCTAACATTTGGATCCATAAAACACCTTGCAAGGAGAGTAAGATGGTGTTAAATCTGTAAGTCCTTGGTTAAATAAGGTATACCTACCAGGGTAGCATTATGGAAAAATGGGGAAAACCTCCTCAGAGTAATTAGGTTTAAATAAGGGATAAAAGAAATACAAATCTGAGGCTACTCCTAGCTCATTTAATTTGGAGGTGGGAGGGAGAGAAAATAAACAACACAGCCAGGTTCAACCAACTGGATGAGGGGAAAAGTCAAAAAGCACACTGTAAAAAGTAAACTAGATTAGAAAGAAAAAAACCTGAGGATCTAATCCTATATTTCTCCTCTGGCCCTCAATTTTTCAATCTATAAAACAGGAAGACTGGATTAGTTGACCTCTAAATTCTATAACTCAATCCATTAGGAGAAATTGGCCCAGAAAAGGAATCAAGAAATATTTTTACCTTTAAACCAATTTGCCTATCAATTACAAACATCTAAAGCTGTCTACTTACTGAGCTTTCAATGTAACCACAATAAAGACTTAAATGATTCAGTCTCTCAGTTTATTCCCTATACTAAGTGAGCTAGGAACAATTTTAGTCTTGTATTTCCATCCTTTCCTCTCGAGGCCTGATAATTTTAGGGCTACCTCCAATGTTCAAACTTCTTATATTTCCATTTGATGCCAAGGATTTCTCATACTTTTTTGAAATAAAGCTTTCAGAACATGTATGTGTATGTGCACAAGCATGCTCACATGCATATGCATATATATATGCCTTTTATTACCTCCTTCCAGGTTATACTGTTTTTTTAGATGTTTACAAAAGAATATGTTTGCTAGCCTTTTTATAAGCCTCTTTCAAAGTAGGTTGATCTTGCTTTTTCAGTTACTAAAGGTTAATATCAGAGGATGTCCCTACATCCTTTAGGTTCCTAAACATTCCCGCATTTGTTTCAGCTTTTAGCTGTTTTAAGTTGCTAGAGTGTAAAAGCAAAATCATATTTCCCTAGAATACCAATTGTACTTAGTAAGTGTCTCAAAAAACTGTTACAGTGGCCATATGAATAAGAATGGATAGACAATGTATAGCCTGTATAGCCTGTATAGACAATGACATCTTGTATAAGGGACTTTGCCAATATAAATAAAAGTGTTACTCTAAACAAAAAAAATGGGCTTACATAGAACTCTGTACCAAGAGAACTTGAAATTAATTCACTGAATTCATATGGAGAAATTGGCATTTATCATAAATAAATTTCTTCTATTTACTTGGGAGTAAAGCCAAGAACCCTTTCTTAACATCTTAAATTCGAAAAGTACTCAGGTAGTACATTACACTAAGGACATTAATATCATTTGGTTATATCCTCATCAATATTTTATAAAGAAAACACCTCTCCGCTGTCTGAGTTCTGCAAACATGCTCTCCCTGAGAAATCTCCTCTCAGAGAATAGCCATCAGTCTAGAATTAACACTAGCTTATGTAGGCTGCAAGTCAAAAGCCAAGCATCGCAAATATATTTGTTTATTCCAATAAAAACTAAACATATTGAGCTTTTCCCAACTTAATATAGACAATTAAAATAGTCTAATATAAATTAATGCCATTTCTATTCTTTTCTCACATACCAGATTCATTTATTTACTTATTACAGCAATGTATTTCAATACATTTACAAATAGTTTATATAACTGATGGATTATATCTCAAAGGATACAGTGTCCATTTGCAATACAGTATAATTGTGACTAAATTGAAATTTTTTGTTTTTCTATGAACACAAATTCTAAGAGCATATACTAGCATATGCTACAGAACAAAAGTCAAAAAAGTAAAGAGTTCTCAGACCTCTGGAACCAAAAAAGACTCTCTTCTTAACCAAACTCTAGACTGGATACCCTGAGCCACTTTTTCAACTAGGCCCCATCCTTGGGCTTTGTCCTTAAGAACTCAGTTGTAGAAAGAATCCTGCTAAATTTCTTTAGCCAGAATCTTCCACCCTCAATATTTAATCATCCTTGATATCTGATCAAATTTCCTCATTCCCTGTATCTCCCAGGTGATGTCTGATTACCCTGGCCTGCCTTCAGCGAGAATCCCTAGGTCCACTTATGCTAGAAATCCTTCACCCCTGAAGTCACCTCTTAGTAATTTTCCATCCACTGACCCTCCCTGTTCCTTGGCTATAAATCTCCATTTGTCCACTTTGAATTCAGAATTGAGCCCAGTTCTACACTGAGGTCTCTTTTACCCTATTGCAATAGTTCCTGAGTAAAATCTGTTTTACTACTTCAACAATTATCCAGCTTTAATTTTCTTTGACAGAACCAAAGTTTATTTGGAATCAATTACTAAAGCCCAAAAATCAGTATGCCAAAGAAAAGTGAGTTTCAAGTGCCTGGCAAACAAATTTAAACCTAAAGAACACATCAAATGAGCTGAAAAATCACAAGATAATTGATGGAAACAAGATGGCTGGGAAATCAGCTGTGTGTAACCATGTACCCTTCTTCCTGGAAGAGGGCTGAGATTAAGACAGATTGAGATTGAGCAAGAGGATACCCCCAAAGACTAGGGGCCAAGAGTGAAAAGAAAACACAAGGCATGCCACACCATGGCTCTCCACTCAAAAGAAAGTAACATTCATGGCTTCTATATGATAGAGATCTGATTTCATCAGATTTCTTGGGAATCTGATGGCTCCAAGAACCTCTCCAAAGAGGCTTCATTTCTTATCCCTGTCTAGCTGATCTTTTCCCACAGTGACTAAAGTTCTTTTCATGGAATATGGCTAATTATGTCCCTAAAGGTGTCCTTTGTGAGTGGCTGCCAGGATAAAGAAGTAGAAAAGGAAAGGGAAGACTGGCCACTAATTTCCATTACTTTATGGTGCTTGCTGCTGGGCAGCCAGGCCAGGATCACACAGAAGGAACTAATTTCTTCTTGTTTTGTTTTGATTTGATTCTCTGGTGTGATTTGTCTTAACAGGTACAAACTTCCTACCAACTTATTGAGTAAGGACTGCAAGGATTTTTATCTAGTGGGACCTACTTTCATAAACACGTTAGATGTAAAATTTTCTCTCAAACTCACTTATAAACAGAACCTACAACATGTATAATCTTCATGGATGGCAATTTGGCAATACATGTCTGGCATATAATAAGAATATCAGTACATTTGTTAATGATTTAATGCATCATTCAAATGTGCTTACCTTTTGACCTAATAATTCCATCTCTAGAATGTATCTTCAGGGATAATCAGACAAGTTAAAAAATATGCAAAGCAATAAAATGGAGGCATCTAAAACTATTAGTTACATTATGATAGCTTGATAATGAAATATTAGGCCATCACTAAAAATGAGAGCAGTCTTTGTGTTAACTATAAAAAATTCATAATATATATTTTTAGATCAAGAAAGCATGATCCTATTTTAAGCATATATACTTTTATACACATTATATAAGCCAGCCCACCATTCCTTACCCAAACCCTTGGCAGCAGGTTGTTTTGAGAATTCATAATTTTTCATTTTTGAAAGCAAATATAATACATATATCATATATTTTCCAAATCCCCAGTGGGTTCTCAGGTGCTACCCCATGTTTGTGCAAAGAAACATATAAAATATTCACACTAAATGGAATAACAGAGACTAAACATAGGCCATTAATTCAGGTCAGGTTTTGCCACCCAGTGAATCTGCATCAAACTTAGGGAAATTTTTTTTTCATTTTTTAGTACTTTTTGGAGTTTGGAATTGCAAGCTAAAAAAAAAAAATAAAGTCTTGAAATATACATACCAAAATGTTTATGGTTATTATTTCCAGTAGTTAGAATCAGGGATTTCTTCCCCTTCATTTTCTGAACTGTTTATAACAAACACACATTACAACATTTATAATAAGAAAAAGAAGTCAAGGCCGGGCATGGTGGCTTAGGCATGTAATCCAGCACTTTGGGAGGCTGAGGTGGCAGGATTGCCTGAGGCCGTAAGTTTGGGCAACATAGCAAGATCCTATCTCTACAAAAAATTTAAAAATTAGCCAGACATGGTGGCATGCATCTATAGTCCTCGCTACTTGGGAGGCTGAGGCAGGAGGATTACCTGAGCCCAGCAGTTTGAGGCCGTAGTGAACTATGATTTTGCCACTGTACTCTAGCCTGGGTGACAGAGTGAGAAAGGGAGAAAGGGAGAAAGGGAGGGAAAGAAAGAAAAGAAAGAAAGGCAAGCAGAGGGGAAGGAATGGGAAGGAAGGGAAGGAGGGAAGGGGAGGGGAGGGGAAGGAGGCAGGCCACAAGTTAACTTTTAGAAAATTAGACATATAATAAAAATTCTGTAAAGACCTGAAGTAAAAAACCGCCTCAACACAGAAAGCAAATCCTAGAATACAGCTACCCAGTCATAAACCTGAGGCAGTGGAGTCCCAGAAAGACTGCAGGCCACTTCTGACGAATAGCTAGTAAATAGGCCTTCATACCATATAGCTGATTACAAACTTTAAGCCAAATAAAGTACCCAAGCAAATTTTCAAACCTTCAGAACTGGTTTACTCTGAACTTCATTTATTCTACCTGGGAGGATCAGAAGTCTAGTTTATCCCATTTTCAACAACGGCAAATCTCAACTCTTCACAAATTTCAGATTTACTAGTTAACTTCACATTCTACCCAAACTGCCATTCAAGGCAAATAAAGATATGAAGACCATGTACCTCCATACAAGTCATAAGAAGCTGTTAACACTTTCCATAGATCCAATGGTGTTCAGATTATAACTGATATCTACATTCCAGATGTCTGTCAACGAGTTTAATCCCAAATTTATAGCCCCTCCATGTTTACCAAAAGCTCAGTTGAACAAAAAAATAATATTCAGAATTACAGACAAAAGCATACCCAAAGTTCCATTATATTATAAAAATATATCACTGCATCAAATGAGAACAGATAGCACCCAAATCTTGTCACGTTGTGAAATTCACCACACTACTTACTCTCCCAAATTTTATTGAATTGCAATTTGCCATGAGACCACTAGATTATGTTAAAGGTTATTGTAAGAAACAACCCACAAAAACGTAACACTGCATCGCAGATGCCTTTAAAGGATATCACCAATATTCCTTTTTGTGAAGATCTACCACAGGAGAAATGCCCACCTGATCTTTATTCAAAAACTGTGATTCTCATAATCAACTGTTCTTATGTCATAGATAGTAAAGTACATATTTCACAAGCTTTTTGTGTGAGTTGCTATAGCACTCAGCTCTAAATTTGTGACTCCTTCTCAGAGTACACTGTTATTAAACTATATTTTTAGCCTTACTCCTGGCTTTACTCTTCCATCATTCTTTGTTTTCTTTTCTACCTCATTTAAACTCATATTATTTCATCATACTTTTGACACCCCTTTTGTAAGCAAGGCAGAATATAAATAATACAGTGTTTGATATTTTTACAGCTTGGTTACTATATTTCTGCATGCACTGCAATCCCTATCTGGTGTTTATAAACTCATTTTATATTTGTAATCTCTCCCCTCATCGTAACCACACTAGAATGTAAGCTCCATAAGTCAGGGACTTTGTTTCATTCACTGTTATATCCCCAGTATCTAGGATGGTGTTTGTATCTATATTAACAATACTTGCAAAATGGAATGACCATGAAAACAGAACAGTTATATCTCATACCAATCTGTTACATAATAGAATTTTTCTTAAGTGAAAACTGACCTTCAGTCTATATGATCTTCGATGTTTTGGCATTGATCTGCCAGAAGTCAAGTGTACTTATCAAATTTATTTATGATAGAAAAAATCTGGAAACAGCAAAATATCTACTAGGAAAATGTTGAAACAAATAATAGTATACATCCTATATCAAGTTAATCATACAGCCCTTAAAATTTATGAAGATTTTAATAACAAGGAATAACACAAGTGAGATATTAATGAAAAAAATCAGAGAATAAAATTACACATACAATGTGAGCCCAACTTAAAAAAAAAGAAATAAACAAAACAGAAAATGATGGAAATAAACCAAAATACTATATATTAATGGTCTTTGCCTCAGAAATATTCAATTGACGTATTTAATTTTTTTCTGTTTTTCTAAATTTTATATAATAAACACATTTTACACAAAAAAGAGTAATTTTGGTATCCAGAGGTGATAAAACTCTATATATTATCATTAAAATCTTGAAAAAATTGTTAATTTACTATAGGATAAGAAGCACATTATTTGGAACATAAAATAACGAAGGACTGCTAAGTGAAATAAATACTGTACCTTCACTGCTACATGAAGTTTTGCTGTTTTCTTGGATGGTCCTGAGGCTTCATATGTTGTGCCATCCACATCTACAGACATTGTGAAGACCGGGGCATGGACAGGTCCAGACTGAGATAAGAGCTTATACTGAAGCCCGGGCCTGATCTGATTTAGCCTCATGAGGGCATTCATAAGGTCTATTGCTTTACTATCCAGGACTGTTAAAGAAAGAGGAATGAGATCAAAAATTAAACAGAAAGCCATTTTGTTTTAATCTATGCATTTGTAGATTCCTAGTGACCATTATAAATTTACCAGGTTTCTTAAAAATGAGAATTTCAAAACACACAAATCAACTTCATGTCATAAGTAATTTGGAAAATGACTTATTATGCTATTAATAACATCACTGTAAAAACAGCATGCATTACTATATCTATACATTAATTCTCATTTGTCAATAATAATGTATCCTAAGCAATGAAACCTGGAAATACAAAAAAGTAATTCAATTATCAACTTCTCAGCTAACATCTATTCTTATAACTCTAATGGAAATCAATCAAATTCTTCATTTTTTGTTTTCATATCTGAGGCTATAAATCCTTTCTAATTCACATCTGTAAGAATAGAAATTTTGCACACTTTTCCTTAAGTTTCGTTTCATCTTCTTATTGGGGTCTTTATCATCCCCTAATCCATCTTCAAATGGCCTCTTTAGAGCTGAAGACCCAGAACCTAAAAACAATTGAGAGATTCTTCATCAGTCAAAATAATAATCTAACTTACTCTACCACATATCTAATATGTTCAGGTAGGAAAATCTTAGGAATCACAACAGGGACCACATAACTTTTCACTGATCAATTAAACTGCCATATTTATAATCTAGAAAAGCAAAATTTTAAAAAGCAAATCTTCTTGAAATAATTTAATATTATCACTTTTTATATATACTTATTTCCCATTTATTCATATACAGACACAAATATCCATGCATATACTATGGTCTGAATATTTGTGTCTTCCCAAAATTCATACGTTGAAACTTTTTTTTTTTTTGGAGACCAAGTCTCACTCTGTTGCCCAACTAGAGTACAGTGGCGTCATCACAGCTCACTGCAACCTCCACTCCTGGGCTCAAGTGATGCTCCTGCCTCAGCCTCCCAAGTAGCTGGGACTACAGGAATGTGCCACAATGCCCAGCTAATTTTTTTTATCTTTAGTAGAGATGCGGTCTGGCTCTTGCTCAGGCTGGTCTCGAACTCCTGAGCTCGAGCAATCCTCCCACCTCAGTTTCCCAGAGTGCTACGATTACAAGCTTATGCTGAAACTTAATCCCAGTGCAGTGGCATTAAGAAATGGGGCATCTGGGAGGTGATTAGGTCATGAGGGTGGAGTCCTTATAAATTAGTGCCCTTATAAAAGAGGACTAAGAGAATTAGTTTGTTTTTCCACCATGTAAGGAAACATAGCAGGTTCCATCTATGAGGAATGAGCCCTCACCAGACACCAAATCTGCTGAAACCTTGATTTTGGACTTCCCAGCTTCCAGAACCATGAGCAATAAATTTCTGTTGCTTATTACATCCAGTCTAAGGTATTTTGTTATAGTAACCCTAACAGGTTAAGGTAGCATATATTCAGATCTATTATATGCATGAACAGGAAAAGTCTAGAAAGCTATATAGCAAAATATTAAAAGTAGTTACCTTTGGTAGTATTTTTACTTACATCACCTCAAACATTTCTAAAATTTAACATTTATACTGTACAAACAGTTAAACAAACAGTTTTAAAGTTCACATGTTAAATCTTATGCTTTCGGATATCTGATTATCAAGGTATAAAATACTCTTCTGCCTCTTCAAATCCTATTGAAGATCTTATTTACAGTTCACCTCCTCCACAAACCCTTTCTCTCATATTAACTTTCTGAAAGAGTTTCTATGGTATCAGAAATATAAAGTACTGTAGTTTTATATTATTGCCCATTTCAGATATTCCCTTAGTGTTCTTTGAAGATCAAAGATATTTTATCCTTGCCTTGTATCTTAGAAACTACCTTAAGACAAGACTTAGAAACAACATAATGGGTATGGAGCAAAAACTAACCGAACTGATATTAATCAATTTCTTGGATAAAGTAGCCAGTTAATAACACTGTCAAGCAAAAGGCAGGAGCTTTGCTGTCCAAGTTAAAATATAGAGAAAAGCTCATCAATTTGTCCAAGTACTTATAAGAACACTCTGTGTCTTCAACTTAAAATTTGGTTGCTAGGTTCTTCCTAAATTATGCTCAAGATACTCGTGCCATCAGATTCTCAGATACTTCTAGTGAAAGCTTTCAGTAAGAATGATGAGACTAACTATGTATCTTCCGATCAAGATTTATTGTCCCTGGGGGTAAACACTGACTTCATCATTTACTTGGGTCAGTATTTACCACTCAAGTCAATCAATCTTGATGTTCTATTCAACAGAAGGCAATATCTGCTTAGTATTGTATTTCATTTGCATTACATAAAACTACAAGTGTGCCAGTCTCCCAGAATACAGTCTTTAAGAGATAAAAGTTAAAAACAAACTGTATCTATTCAACCACTCTTCTGCTCATTAAGTTACATAAAAAGCAGCTCCTTGATTGTCTGCAAATCACAAACTGGCTTCAATACAACACAGGATCTATTCTCTAAATCTGTGGTCCTCAACCCCTGGGCCGTGGACCAGTAGGAACCAGGCCACACAGGAGGTGAGTGGCAGGCCAGCGAGCAAAGCTTCATCTGTATTTACAACCTCTCCCCATTGCTCACATCACCGCATAAACTCCGCCTCCTGTCTGATCAGCAGTGGCATTAGATTCTGATAGGAGTGCAGCCTACTGTAAACTGTGCATGCAAGGGATCTAGGTTGCGTGCTCCTTATGAGAATCTAATGCTTGATGATCTGAGGTGGAGCTGAGGCAGTGATACTAGTGCTGGGGAGCGACTACAAATACAGATTATCATTATCAGACAGGTTTGACTGCACAATAAACGTAATGCACTTGAATCATCCCAAAACCATCCCCCTCCACCAGTCCGTGGAAAAATTGTCTTCCATGAAAGCAGTTCCTGGTGCCAAAAAGGTTGGGGACCACTGCTCTAAATCCTCCAGGTACATAAGTATCACTCCATGGATTAAACTTCATTCTACCATTCTAGCCATTGGAAAAGGGCTGTAAAATCTGGGGCTAATAATAATAGTAATCTGCAAAAAAAAAAAAAAAAAAAAAACCACAAAAAACAATGTAAAGCAAGCAAGTACTTTTCAACTTTTATAATATCTAGTAATGAGAAGTAATCATAACTGAGGCAACAATTTTTCAAAATAATTATTTTAGTGCTTACCATAGGCTTGGCACTATTCTTAATACCCTACATGTATTAACTTATTTAATCCTGATAAGCACCCTATGAAGCCAGTACCTTAATCATCTCCATTATAAACTCATTCAACAACAAATATTAATTCAGCATTTACTACGTGCAGGACAATTTTAGGTGCTAAACATATAATCGGGAACAAAATGATCTCCCTGTACTCAAAGAGCTTATACATAGTGGTGGAGACTAATTACAACATGTCCTACGGTAGTAAGTGCAATGGAGAACAGTAAGAGAGGCCTAAGGAGGAGGAACTGTTGCTATTTTATAAGTGGTTCTCATCAGAAAGGTATCACTGATAAAGAGACCTTTTGATGAAGACCTGAGAAAGTAAAAGAGTGAACCATTCAGCCATATGGGGAAATGGTCCAGGCAGAGAAAACAGCAAATATAAAGATCTTAAGGCAGGAATGTGCTAAGAAACAATATGAAGGCCTGGATGGTTGGAGTGGCATGAACAAGGAGCACGTGGGAGCAGATCAGGAGAGCCAGGTATGTAAGGCAGTAGTTCTCAACTCTAGCTGCCATTAACTGACAAACTATCAAGATTCCACTTCCAGTATGGGTGACTAAGTAAATTAAAAAAAAGGCTTCGTGATGAGAGCAATTAGAAAAGCTGGACAAGATAGAGAATAAGTATCTGTTCCCGGACAATGAAGAATTATGGAATCAAGATCTGAGAGGTAAAGGAAACCCTGCACTGGAGGCCGTATTTCCCCTAGGGACATCTCCCAAATCCAAAAGAGGTCACTAATAACTGAACAGAGGAATTCCAATAGGCTCCCAAGTCTCAGGAGTCCAAAACTCAAGTTCAAGTACCACCAAGAAGGGAAAGCCTAGCGAATCCCCCACACTCTGGGTTGGGCCTCTGAAATGTTATATACTAGAAACAAAATAAAATGGAAATGCTCTGAACCTCACAGAAGACTGAAGCCCATCTTCAAATCATCTTAATCCCTAACTGCATTAAAATGATCTACAATTACCAATTCCATTAGCCATCTCCCAGAAACAAATATAAATCCTCCCTGGAAGAAGGTATCGTTACAGCCTTTTTCATTTAAAAACTCTAGTATTGATAATAACAAGGCACATGAGAAGACAAGATACTGTGATCAAAAATCAGGAGAGAGAGCAGACAACAGAAACAGATCCAAAAAGGACCCAGATAGGTGGGGCTTTCAAAAACAAACTTTATTATAAAGCATTTCTGGCAGAAAATCTGAAACAATGAAAGAGTCAAAATTCTACAAATAAAAAAATACACTACAATCGAAAAACCAGCAGATCTGCAAAGGAAAATGACAAATCTACACTACAGAGGAATTGACAGAACTCTCTCAGTAATTAATAACAAGCAAACAAAAAATATACATTATTAAGTATATAAGATCTCAACACAATGAACAAATGTGACCTGATGTGAAAAGGATATGATCACCAACTGCAGAAAATACACACTTTTTCAGAGAAAAAAAAAAATTCATGTGTTGGCCCATAAAATAAGTCTCAACAAATATCAAAAAGGATAGAAATCATACAACGCGTGTTCTCAGATGACAGAATAATAAGTGAAAACTCAAAAACAAAAAAATTAACTAGAAAATCCTCATCTGTCTGGAAATTAAGCAATGACATCTAAATGGCCAATGGGTCAAAGAACTCATAACAAAGGAAAATAAAAGTATAGTTTTAACTAAATGATAATACTAATGTAAAAGAATGTAATGTACATAAATCTGTGCTTAAAGGGAAATTTATCATCTTTATAGTATATATGACAAAATACAAGGCTAAAAAATCAAGTATGTATTCATCCATCTCATAAAGTTAAAAAAAAAAAAAAAGAGCAGCAAATTAAACCCAAAGAAAGCAGTAAGGAGGAAAAACTAAAGAGCAAAGATCAATGAAATACAATATAAATATACAACAGACAATTTTTTTTTTTTTTTTTTTTTGAGACAGGGTCTCGCCCCGCTGTCCAGACTGGAGGACAGTGGTGCGATCATAGCTCAATGTAGCCTCCAACTCCCAGGCTCAAGTGATCCTCCTGGGTCAGCCTCCGGAGTAGCTGGAACTTACAGGCATGCATCACCATTCCTGGCTAATTTTTTTTTTAGTTTTTTGCAGAGATGGGGGGTCTCACTGTGTTGCCCAGGCTGGTCTCAACCTCTTGGGCTTAAGGGATCCACCCACTTTGGTCTCCCAAACTGCTGGGATTACAGGCATGAGCCACCATGCCCAACCCAAAAGTTGATTTTTTAAAAAAACAAAAATGATAAACCCCTAGGCGAGAGCAATTAGCAAATAAAA